AAAATTATTATATATACAGAAAAAATAGAAAATATATTTATACAACTGTTGAACTGTAATATATACCCATAGAGCAATATGTATATGATTATGATTGTGTAATTAATCTAAATCTTTTTTTTTTTTTTTGAGAACAAAATTCACATTAATAATATATTGATTATTTTTTTCTGTGAAATGAGAAATAAAGGGTATCATTCGTCATATGTCCTTTACATTATTCTGTATACATAATTATTCTCATATTTATTTGAAAAGAAAAAACCGTTTTTTCTTGTTCTGGATTGGAAGACTTCTGGCATTCTTTTTCTTTTTTGCCTTGACTGTTCACAAACAAATTCATTATGAAAGTATGTATGAGTTTATCGACTAGAATATAAAAATAAACTATAATGAGTTTTCAGCTTCTTTTTTTTTCTATATATATACAAATGAGAACATAATATATATATATATATATATAGGGAGAGAGAGAGGGACGGAATTGCTCATGAGAAATATTAGAAAAAATTACTAATAATTGAATAGGATATAAATGTAACAAGGGAAATGCAATATGCTGTTTTTTTCCCTTATTTAACAATGTGGAATTTATGCAAGAGTTTTTTTTTTTTTATTATTAGTCTCAAATATAAAATATTCATGTGATTTTAGTTAATAAATAATATATCTTCGAGTTGGTTCTCATAATATTATTTGAGAAGTAAATATAGTAATTCAAGTAGGCGAATCTAATGGTTTATTTTCTTTCGAAGTAATTTGATCTTGAAAGGTACAGAATTTCAATGAGAATAAATCTATGAAGATTTAAGAATTAAACCTGTTTTTCTTTGCTTGTGTCAGATTTAGTTTTAAATTCTGATTGGTTAGTAAGTCATGCTTTGCAATAACGAAGTTGAAAAGTACTTAGAGAAATATTAATATAAATGACATGCCAAATAAATTTACTTATCGCCGGTGACATACTTGAAAGTAAATTTACTATAGCACGTTTGGGATAATTGAAGTTCTACAATGATTCTGTTGTAACATAAAAAAAAAAGTAAAATTTTATGTCTTAGTATTAAAATTTACTCGTATCAGTTTTTTTTTTCGAAGTCTAATATATGTTTGTCATGTAACCAGGGTTGCCATCTGTACCCCATTTGAATTTTTTTTTCTACATTACTTTTGAGTCACTTTTTAACAGAAATCTCAAAAACGACCTCTAAAGCCTTAAATCATTTCCTACAGATGTGAATTGACTTAAGGGACTTACAAATGTCAAAAGTTTTCCTCTATAAGAATTTATCTCTTTCTTGACTTCTTAATAGTATGTTGAAATTCAATTTGAATTTTTCATTGAGCAATAAAATGAAGTGTTAAGGCTTTTACTATAATGGCTCAAACAGAAATGATCGATGGGCAAGAGAGTAACACAGATAGAATGAGCTAATCGAGAAGATCCCAAATCCAGTGGGTCAGGTTTTGATTCGATAGGTTTCTGAAAAATCGAAAATGATCTCTTCAAAGTTGTCCGAGGAAACCCATTTCACAATATTGAGAACTCAAATGCTTCTTTTCGACAAAATTCAAAGTTAAATGATAACTTAAGAAGAGAAAGTCACAAATGAATGCGAATATTTTTTGCTTTGCAATGTTTGAGAACTACACGGACGTACTTCATGCATAAGTGAATAACGCTTTTCTTCAACATACTAACGCCGCTTCTGTTTGCATAGCTTTAGCTGTAACAATTTTCACCAGAGCCGTCCGCTTTTGGAAGCAAAAATGCATACATTTTGCTTCAGGGAAAGTCAATATTTGCGTCGATGTAATCGACAAAAAAGACTTTACTTCTTTCAATTTATTCTTCAAAATCTGTTTTTTTTCTTCATCAAGATTTTTACTTTTAAACAAATTTTTACAAGCATAGCTGTCTTCACGACAAAACTGTAAGGAAAAGTTTTTGTTCATGTGCAAACATGTCTTTTCTTGAGCAGGTTTCGAACATTACATACGTTTTGTAGCAGTTTGTAAGAAAGTTCTGATGTGGAGAGAAATAATCTGAATCCTGAAGAGTTTACTAACTTATTCTGAATTCCACCTATTTGCACGAAAACTGATTGGAAGTGGCAAAATTCTGGCACATCATTAGACCGATAGAAAAAACTACTCGAACTCTAATGTAAAAATCTTCCATCCTTTTGTACCAATCTGATATAACAAGATTTACGCCATTTAATCACCATAGTCAACGTTCCTTTTTTAATTGAACATCTTCAATTGATTTACTGAAGCGATTTTTCGCGGAAAAACATTTTATTTCTCATTTTCTTTTTTAGGAAAAAAACCAATATTTTCAGCCATTTTTTGCAAGAGAAAAGGTCAATATAAAGTCTTTCACGAAACGATGTTTTTTTCTCAGTGATTTTTTCACAGCATTACCCTGAATTTTCAGAAAACCTATGTACCCCATGGATGTACCCCATTTAGAGAAATTTTGTACCTCACATATACCCCATTAGGGACGTTTTGTACCCCATTTGAGACCTTATGAGATGGCAACCCTGATATAGATGTTCTTTTTTTATTTTTTGTTTTGGTAACAATAAATACTTACAATCAATACCCCAAATATCAGTACCTCAATGCTGTATTGCTATTGTGACATGGTTATAATCATTCGTCTAATTTACTTATGTCTATTTTGTATGAAATATTATTTTACTATGTGAAAAGAAAAGATTTGTTCTTATTGTAGAATGGATATATGGATATTATACAATTTTATTTGTTTCTGACAATAATACTATTATGATAGGCATATGGTTGAAAAATCCCTTATTTCCAAAGCATCATAGTATTTTTTATATTGTTATATCCGTATGTATTTTATATATTTGTTTTCGTTTGTCTACAACCTTACTTACATTTCCGCATATTGTATTAATACATAGTCGTATCTTAACAAATAGAAGTATATTTTATGATTTATTATCTAATAAAAAAATTAACAGTAATGAAATTGCTTTATATTATCGTCATGCAACTTCATCTCGAAATTCTTCATATCCATATATCAGTGGTGATACATTTCGAGCATTTTCTGATTATATTTATGATGAAACAAGACAAGATCGATTAAATTTAGTTAAATATGGACAAATTGTTTTTGTAAAAGCTGATCTGCTTGGAAAATTTTTTGGTTCACCATTTAATTCTATAAAAAAACCATTTGTACTTGTTACACATAATAGTGATCAATCTGCACCAGATAAATATGGAGCATATTTATTAAATCCCAAACTACTTATTTGGTATGCATCTAATCCTAGTGTAGAAAATCATCAAAAATTATCTCCAATTCCTATTGGAATAGCCAATATGCGTTGGCCACATGGAAACTTAGATAAATTAACATATGCCTTGAAAAATCATCGTAAACCTTGGTCTCAACGAACAAATTTACTTTATGTTAATTTTGCTGTCGAAACAAATAAAGTTGAACGGGAAAAAGCTTTTTCACAAGCATCAAAAATAGAAAACGTACAAATAATAAAAAAACGAATTACATTTGAAACTTACTTAGAACAAATAGGAAATACAAAATTTGTTTTATCACCACCTGGGAATGGACTTGATTGTCATCGAACATGGGAAGCTTTATTAATGGGTGCTGTACCTATTGTTCGTAAATCGACACTTGATCCATTATTTACAAAAACAAGATCAGTTATTATTGATGATTGGTCGAAATTAACACAAAATCTTCTACTATCATTGAATTCCTCTTTTAATCATCATATTATACCTGATGTTTTATATGCTCATTATTGGCATGAAATGCTTTTCAAACATCGGCATAATCAGCAAAAAATAAAAACTTCGGCATAAACTGTTTTGATTTTTTTTAGTCGATTAAAAAAAAAGACAATTCTTTTGTTTCGCTACAAATATTTTAGCAAGTCCTTTCATTCTTGATTAATAGAATACGAAAAAGAAGTAGGTAAAAATCGTCATTATCAAACTCTATTGAATTTGTGTGTAAATAGGTACGTATGTCGCAGATATTGCTTAAAAACTTAAAAAATTGTATTCCCATACATATGCTATTCTCTTGCATTTATGCACAATAATTGTAAATATTTGAAATAATTTGCATCTTCATGTATAACATATGAC